TAAGCAGATTGAACCAACTATGTATATGCACATGAGAGCTCAATTGCACTTGGCCGTGGTGTGTGGACTGGCATATATACATGACAAGATTTCAGAGAAAGCACAGGCATCTACCTGCACTAATGCTTGTGTGAAAAGGGATCTATGCGTCACGAGCTTTCAGTCTCTAAGGAAGGCATTCAACATTGCACCACTATGATTGTTCCATCAACACAAGCATTTCTGCTTCCCAGACAGAACAGTCTCCTTCTGCAAGCAATTCTGGAGGTTCTTCCAACCACATAGAGCCTATTTGGGTAGGTGTGGGAGGGAGGAGTTGTGGGCGCCCCTGTTGCACTTGTGAAGTCCATGCTGGCTCCTTCTTGTTCCACTGTTTAGTTGAATCTAGCTGATCTGTCGTAACTCTGAGGAGGAGATGGACCCAATACCAACAGCGCAAGAGTTCCCAGTCAACCTCTCAGGTCCTGAGGGTGTACCATTTCCTAGGGACACAGGAGAATGAGCTATCAATTCCTCTGAGAGTCCTGCAGAGCTTTCATCCGCAATGTCCCCACAGCCCCAAACCCTGCCACCTAGAAGTTACCAACACCTGCACCAAAGGACACTGGCCTGTTGCAGCAGTCAGAAGTGGGGCGGGGGCTTCAGTCTTAAGCCTCCAGGCCAGACTATGAATCTGGTGCTGAGACAATGAGCTGCATCCAGCTAAATTGTAGCCATGTCCATTAATTTCAATACGTCTCCTTTAAGCAATAATGGATATACACCCAATCTGCTCTCAGCTGCCAGATTGCTGCCCATGGTCCTGAAACTTGTGCTTCTGAACTCTGAGCCAATCCTTTTGGTTATCCAAATCCCTGACCTTAGTCTAGCATGAAGCTAGCCCAGACATTGCCTCTTCTTGGCAATGGAAATTGTTATGGTTCAGGGTAATATCTGTGCAGTGCTTAAGTGGATATGTACAATCCACCTGCAATGAAAAAGAGACAAGGATACAGAGCCAGTAGACCCTCTTTGCATAGGCCTGGGTTTACATTGAAGTCCCTATGTATGCTGAGGGACAGCAAACATGTTCAAAGTGCACTCTTGTGACCCACTCTGTATATAAGTTACCCAGTCCATGTGTGAACCAGGCCTCCTGAGTGTTCAACGGATTAGTGCACAAATTAGGATCTTCAAAGAATTCATGGGGGGAGGAGATGAGTCAGTGGAGGTGATTTTGTGCTCTGAAGACAAATGTCCTCAGAGCCCAATTCCCCTTACATAGGATCTTTCAGAGGCAATGGAGTAATGAGCAGATACTCCTTTCTTCATCCTTGAAGCCCCAACTTCTCACTTGCAGGTTATCTTTTTGGTGGGAAAGAAGTCATCCTCTTCATCGTTCAAAGCATCCTTTTGTGGGGAACCAGTGACCAGGGAGACAGCTGAGAGCCATACCACCCAACCCACAGAATCTCTCAAGAATGTATCGGGCTCAGGACTAGCAACTGTGTGCTCCCCAGGCTTCAGGGGATATTTTTTGGCAACATGAGAAAAATGGGCATGTCAGTATAACCCTTGTCCAGAGAAGTTTTTGGTGGTTTTGTAAAGGTGGTGGATTGTTCTGATTTCCACAACCATGCTTCTGCCACCCCTGCAAGAATAGGTGATCTCCATCATTGGAAGAGATACATTAGTCCATGAGCAGGTCAGGCTTGAGCAGCCTATACAGACCAGATAATGGGGTGATAATTGAAGCCAATGTGCTGATTTAGTGGATTTCCAAAATAATATTTACTATGTGCAAACACTCCTTCCAGGATAAACATACCTATTATAAGGGAGTGGAGTTTAGAGTTTAATATGTCTGAACATATTAAATAGAGCTCTTTACTATAAATTTAATGTAAGCACATAGCCATTTGCAGAATTTTGGAAGGCTGCTTTACTGCGAAGAAAGGTCTTTATTCACTATTTGCCAGTCACCTTTAAAGATGTGCATTGAGTGTAGCAGAATAATTTAGGGCTGTGATTCACAGCAAGGAAAATGATGGAGCCCAGCCAGACATACGAACCCCAGCAGCTTGCTCATAGGCCTCTGCTTCTGTCCCAGAAGTGCTTCCCCCACTCTTCTTTTTTTGCCATAGTGTGAGGTAAAGTGCTGCTAGCTCAAAATGCAGGCAATGTAAATAAGAATGTAATTTCACGTATAAAGAAAACTTATCAGCAGTCACCAAAACCTACTGGGGGACACAGGAAAGTCCATCTTCATTTGGTCAGACTAATTAGGGTAATTCATGAGGACGACAATCTGGGTGACTAGCCTGAGGGTGGCTGAGCTGCTTGGATCAAACCTCACATCATTCTGTGGCAGAAAAGGAATCCATCTGAGGCTGTTCTTTCAGTCATACTTCCCAGATAAGGGAAAGTGCCGAGGTTGCCTACTGGTGACCTAGTTATTCCCTTGCAAAGACATGGGTGGTTGTTAGTCACATGTTCGTGTCTGTTACTTGGCTATTTCACCACCACATTTATGCAAAGGTGAACTCTGATCCCCCACAAGATTTTAAAATAAAATAAAATAAAATGTGGATACAACCTTGCACATCCATCAATTCTGGATCCTGATTCTAGCATTGCTGGCATGATCTACTTTGGGAATATAGGTGAGATTGAAATAAATAGGTGAGATTAAATAAATAAGTAAGCATTCTGATATCCTTCTGAAAGCTCCACTGTAGCTTCTGGTGATTCTTCTGCATGCCCTCTCTCAAGCAGGAACTTTTTGTTCTTCTCATTCTTTCACCTACAAGTAGTGATGGAGCTGAAGTTCAGAACTTAAGTTTCATGATGGTGGATTTAAAGAGTTCTCACTCTTATATAAATGCTAGAGTTCTTGAACAGAGCTCTGTCTAGGCCTCTCCAATCTATTAACTGAAATAGGCATAAAACGCTTTTTATATCACAAGCATGATGGTTGGCACCCGTCTGTCTCAGGAAACAATGGAAGAGGGCACCTTAAGGGACAAAGTCAAACCGCTGAAGAGTTACAGCGCCTGTTTTGGCTGTAGAGACCAAGCCAGCGTAGGCGTCATTGAGACAGAAGTGCAAACACACTGGGAATGTTGGCTTGAGAAAGCACCTCTTTATTTGAGACTCTGTCCTGCCATGTGGTGCCCAAAATCTTCCTGATGCAGAGCATGTGGAAGGCAACCAGGGGCGCCGCTCCTGGCGAGTGTATGTTGTCCATATCTTACTACCATAATGTAATGTTCTCAACACACTGGCTTGGTAGACTTTCATGTTTGTATTGGTCATTAGCATCACATTCTCCCATACACTTCTGGAGAGACGAGCCATTGCTGTAGCTGTCATGCCAATACAGTGGTACCTCGGGTTACATACGCTTCAGGTTACAGACTCCGCTAACCCAGAAATATTACCTTGGGTTAAGAACTTTGCTTCAGGATGAGAACAGAAATTGTGTTCCGGTAATGCAGCAGCAGCAGGAGACCCCATTAGAGAAAGTGGTGCTTCAGGTTAAGAACAGTTTCAGGTTAAGAACGGACCTCCAGAACGAATTAAGTACTTAACCCGAGGTACCACTGTACTCTTTTCCAGTTCAGTGTTGATGGAGAGGTTGCTGGTTATGGTGGAACCCATGTAGACGAAATCATCTACCACTCAAGAGAGAGAAAGAAATGTTGAATGTGTAAGCTTACGTCTAGAGACAATGGATAAAGCAAACACCATTAGCTGTACAACTGCATACGTGTTTAATGGTTATTTTAGTTTAAAAACCAATAAAAATTGTTTAAGAGGGGGGGAGGGAAGGAGAGAGCAGGATCTGATAATTTCCCAACATCTCTCCAAATCTCTCACTCAACAAGAAGTCTACCAAGAGCAGCACAGTTCAGGCCTGCGGGGATGCAGCAATAGCCCTAGAACTGTCACGATTTTTATTTATGGACAGCATTTATAGCCTACTTAATAAATAACAAAACCCTTGTCAGCAGTTTGCATAAAAAAATATAAAATACTCGTGAGAAAATGCCGATAAAATCAAGAGACTTTGAAAACAAGTAGACATAATGAAATGATCAAAACATAGTTTAATCATTAGTTTTAAACAACAAATGCACATAATAAAATTACATGTCTGAGTAGACTTGCCTAAATAAAAGAGTTTCCAGCAGGCATAAAATGGGATTCAATGAACAACACAGAAAAGGTGCTGCTGTACTAAACCCTCAATTTCTTGCATGTGTGTAATAAATGTTATATGCCACTTGCAAACCTGGCAGTTCCACAGGAAAGCAGTAGAAGAATTCTAGTGCTGTTTGTTTGTTTGTTTGTTTGTTTGTTTGTTTCCCTTATAGCACAGCAGAATGATATATGTGGATTGTGGCAGCATGAAAGACAAGAATTGGCAGTTTCTAGACCTCTGACCACATCCAGCCTTTTGTGGAATGCCCTATGTCCTATCCTTGTTGGCATTGCACATCCATGGGACATAGTGGCATTTCACTCTGGGGAGGGGGTTGATGATGGAGCCTTGGCATGCCATCCTTTACTTGCTTTTCCAAGTCACCATCTACTTGCTGGCTAGAGATGTGTGGTCCCTTCTTATTCTAGAGAGAGTTTTAGGATGCAGTCTTAACTCCTGCGGTAAATATGCAGAAGATACAGCACAAAATCCAACGCGGGCATGATAACTTAAAAACATATTATAAAGCCATCAGTCTTTACCCTTGGCAATATTCCTATAAAGTTCAACTTGCCAGATGCAGGGCACTGTAACAAAAGTACAATAAACAACCTACAGGCAACATTTGATTAAATTCATAATATTTCATGGGAAGGGAAGAGTAAATTTCCGGCATCAAACTTTCATTAACCTTCATGCGTCTCTTTTCTCAGGGCAAGTCAAAGGCAGAGCAAGCATTGCCGAAAAAAGCAAGCTACCCTGAAGTCACCAGAAAATACATTCAAGAGAATAAAGCCAGTAAATAACTCATCCGTCACTGGGATCTTTTATTGAATCAAATTACTTTTGACATGTGGTCTGCATTATGTGAAGGTCAAGTGTTTTGTAATGAAGACAATAGAGTTATGTCTTTGAAAACACAGACTAAAGATGTGCTCCTTAGCACACTTACCTGGAGGTAAAAATCCATTGGAATCAATGAGACGGCCTTCCATCAGATGTATTTAGGATCACTGGGTAAGTGAGGAGGACAGAATCAGGCTCAGGGATTGCAGAGATTTATTTCAATGAGTGCTTTGCTGATGTCTGCAGGGGTCAGTTTGCTTCAGCGGGGGGATTGATGAGCTGAATCCCTGCAGAATGATTAACCTTCTTGGGAGTAGTAAACAAGGCTTGCGTGGAATTGTTCTGCTTCAAAAAGGTATTTGCTTTGAGACATCGATTAGCACTGCAGCTTCCATTGATCCAGGTTCGGCAGCGATTCACTGAAACTGCACAACTACCATGTGCAATAAAACCATAAAAATACAAATTAGAGAGCAGTCAATGAAATCCTCCTTAAAGGGGCAACTTTGCAGCAAGGAGATGCAGCTCTTAAAGGGGGGAAAGCTCAACTATCCTTGCACATAGAACTTTAAAAAATAGATTGGATAGGGAAAACGGGGGCACAGGTGCTCTTCAGTGATTCTAATGGTCTTTGTATCTGCTTCAGTTTTATTCTCCCTGCACAACTTTGTCTGATTTGAAAGGGCATACAAACAGGCTGGCAGGGAAAGAGCCAAATGCTTTTCACCTGTGCAAAATTGGCTACATTATTATATAATAATGGTGAAGATGAAAATGGGGGAAAGAAGCATTTGTATAGCACTTTCATGTGTCCAAAGAACTTAGCTTGTTGCTTTTTCATGGTGTGCCATGCCTAAAGCATTGCACACAAAAAACCACAAATAATATACAATGCAAGGAATTGCAACCAAAAATTACACAAAACTACCCTATGGTAACAGACCTACCTTCCTCCTGCAGGTCTCTGTCACATACATGTCCCTCAGTGATGCTTCTGAGAGTTGGGAACTGTTTGGAGTGGTGTGGCACATGTTTTGGGAGCCTAAACTTGGAGCAAAATCCTTAGTGAAATCAGGGGACTCATGTAAGAACACCTTTGGGCTGAAACCTATGGTGTTTTTTTAATGAAAAGGTGGTGGTGGTTCCCTCTCTGCCTCTTTCTTTAACTCTCATAATTTAAACCGATTTACGTTTTAATCTGCATTTAGATCAACAGACTAACAGTAACGGAACTAGTGCTGGTAACGCGAAGAGGAGACAGGTTTTGTAACCCAGGTACCCAAAACTGCATTCGGCACAACTGACTAGCGTGCACATAACAAGCAGGCCGAAAGGATGCCATGTCCATTTGGTGGGGGGAGGAGGTCAGATGGAGGTCAAAGGAGGAGATCAAGATTGGCTGGAGATTAAATTGGGGACATTTCCCTTTGTCCCGCAATTTCTTCCATTCGTTCCATGGCTTTCCAGGTCCTGGAGGTTTTTCTTTTGTCCTGCCACTTTGCCTGAGGTTTACTGCTGAACTGAAACAAATGTCCATCTGCAGAAAACCTGGTGGACATTTGTTCCAGTTCAGCAGTCACCAGCAGGTTTTCCCAGGAAAAGCAGCGGGACGAAAGAAGAACATCTCAGACCCGTGCCTAGAAGTCGGAAGGGTGGATGAGTCTCAAGATGCCAAAAGCAGTGGGTTTTATCCAATGCTAGTCCTACTCAGAGTAGACCTACTGAAATTATAAACAGGACCAAGTTAGGGACATTTATTTCGATGGGTCGACTCTGAGTTGGAAACTTAGTTGGAGACAACGCTAAAGGTTCCTGGAATACCTGATCCCAAACTTTAAAAAAATAAAAATTAAGCACTAGGTGTGATATGATTTCTCATCCCTGCCACCTGCCTCTAGTTTGACAATCTAGAGCGTGGTGTTTTCAAGTAACAGATTCAATCTTACGAACATGATGTTGAATGAATTACTACACCTATTCCCATGCACCGTATCAGGATGCAGCTGCCTCGTAGACGTCGCGCCCAGTGCTACCTAGGGAGTAAAGTAAATCCAATTTCTCACACTGAAGGATACTGATGATATTTCTGTTCACTCCTGAGAGGGCTTAATAGTTTCCATGCATCATTGGTACACATAGGCTATGGATCTTTCCCACTCATATCTTTGTGCAGTATATTATACGAAATGTATTCAGAAATGGCGAAATGAAAAATAGTTTTGACTGAAACAAATGATATATACGCCCGGAAAAGATCTTCTTGGGAGATGCTTAATGGTCCATATTACATTTTCTTAAAGCATATAAACTTTTTAAAAACAAGAAAAAGCTCCAAAAATATAACATGGTTTCATGACTGATTGGCATCAGGTAATTACTTTTCTGCCCTGAGTTATGCAAAGTGTGCATTTGAAAGACAGGATGGGGTACTTATAACAATGCATTTGCTAGAGAAAACAGCATATAAAAATGGATCATATAATTTTTGCTTCCAAAAATGGGTATATTAGGCAAAATTAAAAACAAGAACATGTGTATTAAGAGACATTTGATTAAAATGTTGCTGAATTTTCATGAATGCTTGTGGCTGTTTTGTTGTTGTTGTTTTTAAATCACAAACTGGTGTCGAAATGTGGAGGGCTAAATTTAAGACTGGGAAAAAAGAGAGAAAAACTGAGAGTAAATGCCAGGCCAGAGGTTGGCAGCACATACAGGTTAACTCACAACACAGGCGGGCATTATGTTACTGGCCATTACGTGTATAAGCAAAATTGAATAAGGCTCTTAGTCTTCCTCTTCATCTTCCTCCTCCTCTCATTCACTGGACTCTGCTGTAGATGACCTGAGGACCAATGGGGTTGACCAGTAGCCAGAACATATATGAAACATATAGTTTGTGTGTGTGTGTGTGTGTGTGTGTGTGTGTGTGTGTGAAGGAGCAAATGACCTATCAACTTAATCCTCTTTTTTAATATATATATATAAAACCCAAACCCTAAATAAATAAATAAAGTGTGAGAGAGAAATGAGGCTGTTGGAATACAAAACAGGGGATGATGAGGGATGCTGAACACTTCTGGAATTTTCTCCATGACACAGAGCTCACCTTAAGGCTCCCTTGCTAGCCGCTGTGTGAAACTGGTTCCTGGATGGGCTGGCCTGATTTAGCGGGGCTCTTCTTAGCTGTGCCGTGCTTGGGGGATGTACCTGGTAGCAGTGCCACAGAGCAAGGCTGTGGAGAAGCTGGAAAACATTTTAAATGCTTGATTTGAGAACTGAGCCAGCCCTGAGAGCATGCTTTTTTAAAATAATGGCCGATTGTTCTTGGAATGCAATCAGCAGTGTTGCTTGGAGACCTTCCACTGTCACTCTGCAACTGCTCTATACAGAGAATGTCTTTTCAGGCATTATCAAGCAATTATTTCTACATCTCCCTTCAGCATGCCAATTACCACTTTGCCCTTAGAAATTCAAAATGCATTTCCAAGATTCAGAATATTTACTATTACCAGCCCAGGCTACTGCAACCTAGGTGAAAAGAGGTGTTTGCTTTATTTTACTTTATACATACCAGCTTTCCGCAAATTGCTGTCCTCCAGATATTGAGAAGACCCCAGGTCCTATCGACCCCAGTCAGTGTATATTCCAGAAGAACTTTGTATTTTGAGGAATTCGTACCACTAGGGAGAACGTGCATTTCGGTGTTAAGGTATTGCAATTGACTGGCATGCAAAATCAAGACAATCGATGGCACCCATGAAGTTTTCTCAATAAAGAAAATCATGCTGGGCCTATGGAATGAGAAGCTTACACCCGTTTGATGGAAATGTTATGTAAACACTGCATAATGATTGGAGAATGTGCAGAATTACTGGGGATTCCACTCTGAAACCCTGGAGTGTAGACAGTACAGACCTAGATGGGCCGGTGGTTTACAAACACCTCCCTGTGTGCTGTTTGTAGCAAACAACACTTTTAGGGGCAAAAAGCAGTAAAGAGGCAATGATATTTAGCATGGCCCGCAATGCATGCTAAAAAGAGCAATGTTCTGGATTGAGTTCTCACAACTTCAAAATATTCATGGCTTGCATGTAACTAACGTTGCATGCCGTTCGGTTCTTGGTTACTTGTTTATTTCTTGGTCTGGCACAGAGCTTTAAATAGCCACTTGGCTGTGAATATGAAAAATGCAAAGCAATGTAATACATCAATAGAAAATATAGTTTGAAGCTGGCATAAGAATAGCATCGCAGTTGCCTTGACAAAGCACTCAGCGTTTGTTACTTCCTATGCTAATTGATGATTTGGCCTCCTTCTAACTTCCTCCAGCCGATCGAGTTGGTGAAACAGAATTTCTAAGTTCCCCAGCTTATTAGCATTTTGGAATAAAGTTCAAAGTTACCCATCCAGGGCTGTGGGCCAGCATCCTGTGGCCTTCAGCTGTGTGGAAGCATGTGAAGCAGAGCTGGAGGAACAGCAAGCAGAGAGAGCATGAGAAAGGATGCTTTTAAACCTCTTCTATTCATCAGCAGGATGGACTTTCCCATCTTTTATATCAATCCCATTACTTACATAGGCGAACCTATGTAAGATGCTGGCTTTGGATTAATCTAACTGGGGAGGAAGTGTAACAAGAATTCTTGCTTCTTCAGAAATTATTCACCTAAGGTATTGCCAAAGCCCAAATCCAAAACTGAACAGGGCTGATTTCAGGACCTCTATGCTTTGCCCAAATCAGTTGGAAAGATCCTTGTTTTGCCCTAGGTCTGGCTGCTCAGCACAATCTAGAGCTGGGAAGGGGAGGAGAAAGGCAGCCCCAGCCCCATACCCTGCAGGGAATGTGCTGTGGAAGCACATCTCAGCAGGACTGAAACATCTTCTCCTCACCAGCTGGTGTGCAGAGAATTCAATCCTGCCAGGTGCAGGGTGCTTCTTTACAAGTGCCTTCCTTGATTTTGGGGCTGGATTCCAGTCGGGAGTCCCCCAAACTGATCCAGGGCCCCAGATCAGAGGTCCAGATTGGGAGGAACTGTGCAGAGTCCTGATGTACAGCCTGACACATCCCAGTGCTTGTTTTCCAAAACAGTTCAATAAAAGTGATTCCACTTTTTATTTTTTAGGGGCAGTGACTATTGTCTTCTCTGCATTCCTTAACATTTCATTATTCTGATAGCCTCATGTTTTCTTCTAATCTAATCATCCAAGACGCCAGGGTCTCATGTAGCAGCCAGTGAAATCTCAACGAAGCCTATGCATAGAGCCACAGACTCAAATTTTTCATTCCTTTCATTTTTTCATTTTACTTTTCATTTGTATACCGCCTTTCTGTATTACTATACACAAGGCAGTTTACAAGCTTTACAAACAACAAAATAAGACAGTAAAAATCACACATGTAATAACAATCTGATCCAATACCAAAAAAAAGTAACAATAGTTTTAACCTTTCACTTTGGTCCATCTTGGTTAGTTGTACTGTATGCTTGAAGTTTGCTGTGGTTGATAGCTGTGCAGGCCTATCAGGGTGCAGATTAGCACAAGCCATTGCTGTCACCATCTCTGCTGTGTTCACATCACAGCAGCAAGTGTCACCCCTCCATAGACTGTCTGAACGCTTCCTCCTCCCTCCTGCCTCAGACCTTATTGTGGGCTGGGAGATATGACTAATTGGTGTGAAATAGTTCTCATCTGCATACTCATCCAACTGCATGCGGTGGAGCTTAGCTGCCTTGCCTTTTCTGCAGAAAGATGTGCAAGGAATCAAAGATGCAGCTTTGATTCTTCTACTCTGTATATCTCCAAGTCTAATTCTCCCATTCAGGCAGCACCGTCTACAATTGCTTCTGATGAAAATTTTTGCCCCTTGCTGGATCTTCATAATACTTTGTGAGTCAATTTGGTTCTGCCCCTTGGGTGTGCTATTGAATCACATTCCTTCTCCCCGTTGTTGACGTCCTCCCGCCTCTTCCCATTTATTAACAGCAGCTTCCTTCAGTGAGTGTTTGTCATCAGCTTTTTTTCATTTCAAGCTCTCAGATTTTTCCACGCTTGTGAAGAGATTGCTGAAGTATTTGGTTTCTGATTACTCATGATTAAGCAACAGTAGGAATTGATTTGGCAATAATGGCTGAAGATGTGTTGTTCCCTCCAGGCGGGTTTCATTTTCATCCCTTTTCTCTGTACAGATTAATATTATCCTGAGATGGTTGTGAAAGTCGAGTCTTTTGAAAAACTAACTTACCATTCACATTTCTGCCCTTTGGAGTGTAATCAGTAGCATGGGGCATACGGCAGGTTGCAGTTTAACACTGTCAGCTGAACTGCAGGTACTCATATTTACTCCAGAGTTTACTCCAAAACATTTTTCATAATGTTTCATTGTAACATGGATGGGGAGCCCTAGAGCCTTCAAGGTGTGGTCAGACTCCAACTCTCATCACCCTCAGCCAGAATGTCCAGTGATCAGGGATGATGGGAGATGGAGTCAAACAACATCTGGAGGACCACAGGTTCCCCAATCCTGTGTTAATAACCTAAGCAGGACCCTAATGGATCGGGCCAAAGGTGCAGTTAGTTCAGTATTCTCTTTCCTTGCCAGCCAAGAGCCTTTGCAAAACTCAGAAGTAGAGCCTCCCCTGTTGTTTGTCCAGATCACCTAACATCATTTGACCAGAAAGGGCTGTCCTCTATGAATTTGTTTGTTACTGAGATATGATCCATACTTAGCACTTCCAGACATTTCTGACAAGGATACAGTTACCAGATTTTTTTCAATGAATCCAGGGACACTTTTCAACTTCAGTAGGAATGATAGGATTTTGTCAGGGGACTGTCCCCGGGAAACGGGGACGTCTGGTAACCTTAGACAAGGAGGATTATTATTCTTACAAAGTCATGGGGCACTTCCAGACTGGTGGGACTTCAGGTGAGATTAAATCACATACCAGCAAATTTAGGTTGCACAAATAAAGCTGATTTGGCATTCTTGTGCAACAGAGCCATCCCCACTACCTCCAAATTGGACGGTTTGCAGTTAGGGAAGTGATTGGGAAATGTGAAATTACAACTGCTTGAAGCTATGCCATAGAACCTATCCGCAAACAAATCAGGACAAATGCTCAACGAACAGCCAACATCATCTAGCCTCCCTGCAAACTTTGTGCAAACATATCAAGAAGAATGCTCAATCAACAAGTGCCCTTAGTCACATACTATTTATTAGGCAAACTGGAGCTCTCTAAGCATTGGAGGATTAGCATTGGAAATACTAAGCATTAGCAGCTAGACTGGAGATCTCTATGGGGTGTGGGGGGAATATAATGTATTTTTCATTGGTGTGAAAGAAGGGGGGGGCTTACTCCGATGAACAAATGGACCTAACAGGAATGCAGCCATGTAACTTTTTGCTCACACTGCATTCTGAAGGTATGTGATATTCTCATAATACTCAAGAATAAAGTCTGCTGACAATACTTTTACATATGACTCTGCTTTTATATTTCTTAGGAAAGTGTACATGCTCTCCCTGCTAACATGCATCTGTTTTTCTCATTAGTGACTTTCTGGAGGAATTTGAAAATATTCCTGTTCACCCAGGCATTTTATAGCTGAAATACACTGTTCCTGGTAACCTAGAGATCACTAGATGAGAGAATGTTTTTAAGTAATACTGTTTTTAGGATGCTTTTTTTTGTGGGGGGGGGACACTTCTTTTAAAAATAGTTTTATTATGAGTGTGCTTGTAGTCCTGGGCTCCTTTGGGAGGAAGGGCAGGATAATTAATTAAGTAATTAAATGCCCAGTTTGGTTGAAGGTCAAATTTATTTGAATTCAGAACTCTGAAATGCTGAACTGAACCAGCTTAATTCTGAATAGCCTTGGAATATGGCAATGGTCAGGGCCAAAGGTTTAACATTTTTTCTTGCTGTTTAAGCTTTAAAAAACAACAACAACACACCTCTCACAGCAATGTAAGTCTTTCTCTGGACCAATTCTCACCTGCCACACTTGCAGGAATGCCTTGGGAGTGATGCCACATTACTGCGACACTCCCAAGGCATTATGGGAAGTATGGGAACCAAGGGGCAGTTCACAGCTGTCTCCACAGTTTCCTGTGGGCCATACTTCCTGGCAAGGCTCAATATAAGCAGCAACCCCCTTCCAAAAAGTTATTTCACTCAGGAAAGCAGCAGAAAATGGGACCCTGTTTTTGCAATGGGACGACAGTTTCATGAGGGGAGGTGATTTCATCCGAGCCTTGGCCAAGGCCTTTCCTCCCCCGAGACTCAATGTTAAAATGCAAATTATTCTGTT